ACATTTTTTCGCCTGACCCCATCAGTGCCGACCCAACTACACCACCACGCGCATGCCTCGCGGCGGATATGCGCAGCAGCAAGAAGGTTTCGGTCATCCCTTGAGGGTGAGTCTAGCCCTGCTCGCCAGAAAGACCCCCCCCTTCACTACAACCCATGTCTAAGCAAAAGCTTGTCGAGGAGCGAGGGGAAGAAGGGAGAATCACAACGGTGCTAACGTCGAAGTTTGTGGATTTTATTTCACGGTTTTTCGATTTTTTGTTTAGCAGCTTTTTTCGAAGTAACAGAACACATCACACGCACCACCGCACGCACACAGAGCAGTCTGCTGAGAACATGTCAGCGCGGCCAAAGAAAAGGCTAGCGCCCAGCGAAAGGCCTTGCTTGGAGTTGGCGCGCCACCAACACAAAAACAGGGAGGCTGCACGGTCAGAAAGTTGGGTTTGTTTCCGGCTGGCTTGAGGTCAACAACACGCCCGTCAGATTGAGGCAAGGGGGAGGAAGAGCGCACGAACATAGAGGTGGTGGCAACGCCGCCAGCAAAGAAGAAGAGCAGAGAGGAGGAAGAGCACGTAGTGGCCTCCTGGTGAAGGTGGACGCGTCCTTCCCCGGGCAAGAGTATTTTCTCTGGTGCCTATTTGAAAGAAGAGCGTTTGACTCGGATGTGCCGCCCGATCCCAACCCCCCCGTCTCTCTCCCGAACGCTTGAAACGCGACAGAGCACTTCGTTCAGAGACTGTCGTCGGCCACAGCAGTAATCACTTCCTGTCTCCGGACTGGTGTGGTGCGATTTCGTGTGCTGGGGTTGAGGGAGAGACGCAGACACGGACACGCGCACGCACGCACGCACACTCAACAGCAGCACAGTGAGAGCCGCTTGTCATCAAGCAAAGTTGTTGTTGTTGTTGTTGTTGTTGTTGTTTCTCACATTAGCTCTAAAAAAAAAAAAAAGTTGGGAGCCCGTGGTCTCAAAACCCGGCATACACGACCCCACGAAGAAACAGAAAAAAATAGGGTACAAAAATAGGGTACAAAAACCACTCGGAAGAGNAGACGCAGACACGGACACGCGCACGCACGCACGCACACTCAACAGCAGCACAGTGAGAGCCGCTTGTCATCAAGCAAAGTTGTTGTTGTTGTTGTTGTTGTTGTTGTTTCTCACATTAGCTCTAAAAAA